GCCAGTATTGCGTTCAACATAAGGAGTGTCGAAGATCATCCCGTGACAGAAGTTGAGTTACGAAGAAGTCGGTAAACATTATCTAGAATGTGTCTAGGATAAGTGTGTGAGTACTTCTTGTAATCATCGTTCTATAGTGGATTTGTGTTGGACTGAGGAGTCCCGTGGATTTTCCCCAAAGGTGGGGTTTTACCACGTAAAATAATTTTGTGCGTGTTCTTTTATTTTATGCCCAGCACGTTACAGGATTGATAAGCCATATCAATCCTGCTACCGAAGTTTATTTTTATTTATTTGATTAGAATCTTAAATTGGCCTATTCACCCTCCTCTAGGCATTTTGAGTCATCCTGCAGGTATTTTCATATTATATAAATATGGGCAGAAATAACTTTATGTATTTTTTTTATGAGGAATAATCAAAATCTCTTAACATACCCATACTTTTTTTTAAAAAAATGTTACAAGCAAACCGATATAATAAAACAAGGGTAAAAATAGTATATTAAAATAGGTACAAACCGATATATATAATCAACCCCTTATATTAAGAGATCATTCAAATAAATATTTGAGGGACGCCTTTTAGGATTTCTTACAATTTTTTTTTCAACGATCCAAACCTTCTATTTTTTAAGTCTACATTCATATCCTTGCAAAAAAAATTAGACAAAGCAAAAACCGTTTTCGACATCCAATTGTATCTTACAAAATCAATGAACACGATACTTCAATAAAGTATTAAAATTTCAATAACACAGTTGAGTGGTCAAACGATATTGGATTCAAGTGTTTTTTTTTTTTTTTGTAGAGATGATCTTTGAATGATTATCTAAAACATAGACGGTTTGGATTAGTGAAATACAATGCGGATTAGACCATACAAGAGTGTCCCTCAGATAAGCTAATTTGAGGGATTCCTCAATCGAAGCTCTGTGTATATATGTATGTATGTATGTATATATATCAATTTAGTTAGCCATCCTCAACTTGTAAAAAAATTATGTTTCCAAGTAAATTAAAAGAGAAACATAGATAACTACAAGGTGTGGTGCGGTTGGCAAACTACCACCTCCAGCTGACGAGCTACCTGGTACCTCAATGGCAAGGGTTCGAAACCCGTTAGAAGTACTTTATAAGCCAGGGGCAAGCCGAACCCTGAGCAGGGATTAATCTCACTCTTCCGGTGTGGGAACATTTCGTGGTATTTACCAAAAAGAGAAACATAGATAGAATAATAGGAAGTAAATCTTTATTTATTTATTGGGTATTGAATGAATGAATCAATTAATAAAAACAAACAAGGAAAACCCTATGAAAAAGGATTGTACAAGAGTACCAAATAAAGTAAAATTTTCACTAGGACCAATTAATGGTCTTTAATTAATTAATTAATTTATTTTTGTGACCTTAAGCCATGTGACCATGTGATTTGGGGGAAAACTTACTTGATATTTATTTTTTTCTGCACTAAAAACTTACTTATTTTAAGCTATCCTATAATAATATAAAGAAATAAAAATAAAGTCCATTGAATTATGGTGCACCTAATTACATACTAATACTCTCTCATTCCTAAGTGTGGTAGGATTTTGTGAAGGGTGGTTCTATTTAAACTCTCTAATTTGCTCCTCTTCCTCTTTGCTCTAGGGTTTTCTTTTTGCTCCTCTTACTCTTTGCTCATATAAAAGGTCTAGCTAGAAAAGAAAAAAGAGAAACCCTTTCCAAGGATATATTAGGTTGGAAGAAAGAGAAAAAGATCCATGATGGCTACAAGACAAAAGGTATGTATCCCAACTTTCTTCTTGAATAAGAAATTTAGAATGCAAATCTCAGTCCTCCTATCTATTTCTTTTCTAGTTAACCAAGTTTATAAAGCCTCAACATCAAGAAATTTTGGGGTTGAATATCTCAATCATTCATCACAATTAGGGATTAAACCATATTATGCAACCCATTCTTCAAAACTAACAATAATTATAGAAAATTTTAGGGGAAAAGAAAGATCTCCATCTAATTAGTTAGAGGATTCTTTTAATCCATCCAAAAAAACATAATTTTAACTTATGATTCTTTCATCTTATTTTAGAGAATTTTTTTTCCCAGAGTTAGGAACGGGGAATAGGGTTTTGTCACACACACACACATACTGCCAAGGTACTATGAGGGTTCGAACCTGAGACGACTGATCTACAAGTCAAAACCCTGTTTCCACAGGGCTAGACCTATTGGCTTTTTAGGGATTTCATTCTTGTGCTATTTTCTATATCTCATAGAAAATTCAATGAAACAAATCCTTTGTCAACCTTTTTTATGTTGATCTTGTATGTTCAAAACGACATTGCTTCAACTTTTAAAGGTTAAAGCGTTTTGGATTTTGGGTGATTTTTTTACAAGGATGATTATTTAATGAAGACTTTAGACTATATGTAAGTTCTGAAATTTTTCAAAAATTCGGAGTAAGGGCTCTCTCTCTCTCTCTCTCTCTCCCTCTCTCTCTCTCCTTGATAAGGTCAGTTGTGCTACCTATATCTTCCTCCTTAAGAAAGCCAAATCTAAGCTCCCTACCCTACACTCCACCACAATCGGATTGGGAATTCCTGACCACTTCCCTAGTCATCAAACCACACTTCACCAATCCCACCCCACGCGAGCTAATGATCTCTCTCACCCCGATCTCTCATTTACTTTCGTTCTCTATATCTTTCTTTCATGGCCAATCGACTTAGGGTTGCTCGTCGTCTCTCCTTTACCACTCTCTTTCTCCTCTATTATTTCATTGTTTCTCTCATCTCTCATATCCTTCTCTCATCTCTCCTATTTCCCTTCCCTCTGATCCGCGTACTGGCACGATCGCCAATCTCAAAACTACAATTGTAGAGACGGAGATAGGGGAAATAGAAAAGGAGGGGAAGAAAAGGAAAATTGAGCGAGGAATAGGATGAGAATGGCAAACTGGACCTCATCTTGCCCCACTCCGCCCTATTATCATCCTTTTTTGGTGATTTAATTATCATCACAAATTTAGTGTTTACTATAAAATAAAATAAAAATCATTTAATCATTTGATTATCACCACAAAATTTTAGTGCTTATTGAAAGTTGGTTTTTATTTATTTCTCCCAGCTTCTATGTCATAAAAGTTATTTATCTGCCAACGGGGTCTAAGTCTTGACTTGTAGACTAGAGGTCTCAAGTTCGAACCCCCATGACATCATAGTTGTGTGTGTGAGAGAGAAATCTTATTTTCCCTCTAATTTAGACTATCGCTTGTACTAACAAACAAGTTACTTCTCTCTGCATATGTGGATTATGTCAGTTGGTAAAGTTAGCAAGCCCGCCCCTTTACACCTAAATTTAAATCCTTAAATTAGATTAATCTAGAGTTATTTTAAATTATCGCTTATATAAAATAAAATAAAAAAATTATTTCTAGGGATGGCAATGAGGCAAAAATGATGGGTACGTAATTCACATCCCCATCCCAGCCCCACCCTAATGCAAAACCACCATTAACAACAATAATCTTGAATGGGAAAAAAGATAAGTTAGAAACTATTATACTAGGTAACAGACAATACAAAATTTTGTTTTAGACTTGCACTATGTTTTATTTAATTCAATATATAATACGTGGAATATATATTTTGGTGGGAATTGTGAGACAAACCTAGAAGCCACTTAACAATATATTCATATAAAAAATTAATATAACACACACAGATAAATATATATATATCAGTCCCCTTCTATTGAGGGATCCCTCAAATAATTTTATTTGAGGGACGTCCTTTAGGGTGCCCTACAATTTTTTTCCCAATGATCCAAACCATCTATTTTTTAGGTCTTCATTCATAGATCATCCTTACAAAAAATTAGACAAATCGGAAACCATTTCGACATCCAATTGTGTCCTACAAAATCAATGAACACGGTGCTTCAAGAAAGTACTAAGATTTCAATAACTTAATTGAATAGTCAAATGATATCGGATTCAAGTGATTTTTTGTAGAGATGATCTTTGAATGTGTATCTACAAAATAGACGGTTTGAATTAGTTAAATACAATCCAGAATGGGCCCTACAAAGGGTGTCCCTCAAATAACTTATTTGAGGGATCCCTCAATGGAAGCTTGAGTGTAGGATCCCTCAAATAAGTTTATTTGATGGACACCCTTGTAGGGCCAACCATGCATTGTATTTCAATTATCCGAACCATCTAGTTTTTAGATATTTCCTCAAATATCATCTTTGCAAAAAATCACTTGAATTTGAAACCATTTAACCACTCAATTATTATTGTTATTATAGTCTTTTCTTGAAGAAGCGTGTTTGTCTATTTTGTTGATTCCAATTAGATTTTTGCAATGTTGATATATAATTGAAGGGGATACTTGAAAAATAAACGGTTTGGATCATTTAAAAAAAAAATCATATGGGTCTCTAAAGGGTGTCCCTCAATTAAAGGGGACTATATATATTTTATACAGATTGGATTTGAGTTGGGATAGAATACCTTCCCGGTCCGAAAACTATACCTGAAAATTTCTCCAAATCCATCCCCATACCCGATTTATATCCTTCATACCCGACTCATTGGGATCGAAACCCCACAAAGATCCTAACGCATGGGAAAAATTATCATCCCTAATTATTTCTTCTCTCCCCTCGTAGTCTATCAAAGACCAAAACAAAAGATTTCGAACCCCCCTCTCCTTCCTCTTATTTTTTTTACTGCTACAGCCCAAAAGAGATTTATAATGCAAATGCAAAATTAGCCTTCAACATCGCTACTTTCTTTCTTTTCCAATTTTATGTTTCTCGAGGGACCAGAGGTGCAAACCAGAATCCACGAGTTCCAGAGTTCGAACTCGTCCTACTCGGCCATCCCAAAGGTACCCATTTTACACTCACACACAGACAAACCCACTCGCTTATTTTCGTGCACAGTTTCTTCAACTCCATTAATGGCGGTCGCGAACTGAAGCGACCAAGGTCAGCCCTCCATTTCTATGAATCCGCCTTTGCTTTATGCTAACCCAATACCACTATAATGTTAGTAGCGAACCCAACCATTGAATATTAGTGTAATGCGGTAAGTTAGATTAACTTGACGAAGATGCCGATGCCATCACACAAAGTTACCCACTTTAGGGTTTGGGTGTTGCTCTCGTTAGGAGATGGGTCCCTGAGGTTCTGTTTGTTTCGACGGAAAATGGGTTGGCTGAAGTATCCCGGGAAATGTTTTGTTTGTTTGGTTTTTGAAGTTTCCTGGGAAATTGAAAGATTTCTATCAGAGCTCCATTTTTGCACTGACGTATTTTCGATTTCCACTTAAAACTTTATCCTTTGGGATGTGTTTGTTTCTCGGAATATGGCTAACGGATGGCCAGATGGGTTTAGAATTCCCTAAGAATGCATTTCTGGCAAGTGCAAACTTCTGGGTTTTTAATTTGGCCTGAATATTACAATGTGTTCATAAACTTCTTGTTTGGTTTTTACTTTGCGACCTTGGCATTAGATTTATACTTTAAAAACGAAAATTCTTTGGGTGTCATTGATAAAAACATTTCTATTTTTAGCATTCCAAATACTGGAATGAGAACATTCGATGCCATTAATTTCTAAAATCCATATTCCAAAGAATGGTTTTTGAAATTCCTGAAATCTGCTTCCGCGAAACAGACACACCATTGGATTTGAATGTGATGGTTGGGAAAGGCATTTCTTTTTTTGGCCTATGGAAAAGATTTTGTCATAAAAACTCTTTAGAACAACTGCTTTCAATTTATAATGATAGATGTTGAAATCTACTGGCAAGATTGAACCACGATATAATGTATAAGAATGAAGTAGATTGGCCATTTGAGGGAACTTAGACATGAGCATTGTGCTTGGACCAAGGGTCTCAAACAGTACGAACATGAATGATAAGTGTGAGAGTGAAAGCTGCAAGGCTTAGATTGGCGATGGGAAAGTTTCAGTAGGTTTCCTCTTCTCATCTAGATAAAAGGGATATCTCATCTGAAAGGGGTAGTTTATTTAGGCTATAGTTGCTTAATTGGATGAGATCTCATGAGTTGAGAGCTGACTTTGCCAAATTTCTCAGTGTAAGGATGGTTTGTACAATCAAATTACGTTCATGTGGGACTTTAGAGGGTTAAGGAGGTCAGACCAAGGACAGGACACTTGACTTTTTCAAGGGTTCTTTCTGAGTTCTCGACCTCCTCATGGTTTTCATTCTCTACTAACATTGGACAGTATGCTATGTGTTTGAAGTGTTATAGAAGTGATTGAATTTCGGCATAGATTTGTTTACTATCTTTTGCTACATTGAGTATAAGTTAGAAAGTGGCACCTGCTAAGGTGAGAAAATTTGATACAGGGTCTGAATAGGATTTGAAGGATAACTTTGCTAAAATGACGTTATTGAGAAGTCCTAGTGGTCGTGACAATCAGGAGAGTGCTAAGAAACCTTCTTTTCCCTTGGCGGACCAGCTGCAAAAACAGAAGTCACCTTTTGGCTTCTATACTGATTCTGATATGTTGGTGTGGTTGAAAGGGCTAGCATTAGACCCTTGTGACCGGAAAGCATCCCCAGATTCAGCTCGACAATTATGGAAGCAGAGTCTTAAAGTGCGGAAACTATTGCTTCTTGGTAATGTCGTTTGTCCACGGGTATGTTCAAACTAAAACATTGTTTGTTTTCAATCATCTTGTTGCATTGTTTTCTTGCTGATAAATGTGGTGTTGTTCATTTGACTAAACCATATTAGTATGTTAAGATAATAAAACAATAGTTGGCCCACATCCTAACAGCTTAACTCTTGGTGGTATACCAATAAACTTTTATGTGGTATCACAGAGCGAGAGATCCTGAGTCCAGAACCTCCCAATCTGCATTTAATTGTACATGTTGGGCTTTCTAGTGCTGGAGAGAAGCCCAATGTAGTTGTATACGGGATTGCAATAGTGATAAGACTAGTTATCCTGCTACATACCTGTATTCTACCAATTATAAGCTGACGTATCCTATATTTCCTATGATCCTAGCCTAATTTATCCTGCATGTCAAGCATACATTACGAGCATTTCTTTACAGACCCAACTTAGAATCAACTGATGATCTTGTTCCATTGTCAGAAAAGTTATCCAACAGAACTTCATATGCTTGATAAGCTCTTCCACAATCCTCACTGGGAGGGCTACTGCTTAATTTTGTCATGATACTTAAGTGAAACATTTCAATTTCCGAAGCATTTAGCCCTGCTTAATTTTTCCATACTACTTTGTGATAATTTCTCTAAATGTGAGTTATTTTCTTTGTACTTTTAACGCAATTTCCAGTTCAGAAGTTTTTTTTTCTAACATGAACTTTCATTCGTCACTCCCAATCTTGTTGAAACTACTTTTCCCCCCCTTTTTTTCTACAGAGAAAACGAAAACTTCATCAGTTCCTAAACAGTAGTAAGTTCGCAGGTGCTTCTGGATTGGCTACAGAGCAATCTTATGTTCATACTGTTAAGAAAATGGGCAGAGTGCATTCTGTCTCATGCGTAACCAATACAAATGCCAACAGTGAAATTTTCGAACCACTGGTTCTCTGTAACTCACGCAGTTCTGGAAGTTTGTTGACTTTTGAAGATGAAGATCAGCATAAGCCAGGCTATACAGATTTGGCCATTATGGATGTGGAAAATATTGGTCCATATTGCAAGGATAATTCTGCCTCTCCTTTAATTGATACAGATGAATCAAACAATGGTTTGAACACATTGAGTCCGAAAAACTTGAATTTCTGTGATGCAACCAATGTGAATCTTAATGATACAGCTGAAAGCTCAGACTCTTCGAGTTTAGACGAGAATAGTTCAGAACTTGAATGTGCATTGAGGTCGTTGGTTTCCAGTGATGATTATCTTCCAAGATCTATTCCTGTGAGAGAGATCGATGGCTCAGCTCACCATTCGGATCCAATGAGGTCAAAGGAGCAAAATTCGAAAGTTCGAGAAGCAGTGAAAATAATGTTTTCAGATGGTGGTGTTCTGAGGGCTGTTGTTCCTATTGGTCCTGGTTTTCAGGTGGAAGTCCCAGAATGGACGGGTCCTGTGGATAGGAAGAATCTTTATGGTAGTGATGGTGATTCGAAAGTGTCAAGGTGGTTGGGCACACAAACGTGGCCCATTAAAGGAAAAAGTGCAGGAACCATTGTGAAAGAACTTGGTAAAGGGAGATCCGACTCTTGTTCTTGTGTCTCTCCAGGATCTGTTGGTTGTGTCAAACACCACATTCATGAAGCAAGACTCTGTTTGCAATATGAAATTGGTCCTGCCTTCCGGAGTTGGAAGTTTGATGAAATGGGAGAATTTGTCTCAGCTTCATGGACTTCAAGTGAACAGCGGAGCTTTGAATCTCTTGTCAGAATGAATCCACTATCAAATGAAGCAAGTTTTTGGAGGACTGCCTTTAAGCGTTTCCCTTCCAAGTGCCGGAAGAGCATTTTGAATTACTACTATAATGTGTTCATCCCTAGACGTATGAGCATCCAGACTAGATCCTCTCTTAATGAAATTGACAGTGATGATGACCAGACAAAGGAAGAACAGCTAACTGGATGTAAATCTAGAAGGGTAGCTTAGATGTTCGAAGGACATGAAATTGACAATTGAGCAGCTTGAGGTTGTCAGTGGCCTGTGATATACTTGTCCCTTTAGGTTTAGCTCAATGGCACTTTTTCAAGACTGATCTTTTGCCCTATCACATGCCTAACCAGTGCTATTTTGGTTTGTACAGACATACAAAATCCAAAGCAATTTTGATACTCAGTTGCCTGTGCTTTGCCTTCGTAAAAGCTTGTTTCTTGTATGTTTCTGTATTCAATTTTTTTCATATCCGGTACAGATCCAGAGAGCCTATAGAAATTTCTCGCCAATGTGTTCAGTTTTTGTCATTCCAAGTTCATGCTGTAACTTCGTTTGTTTAACTGATCGTATTAGATGGTTTTACAGTATGTTATTCTGTTTTTAGTCGTGTCGTGTTCAGGTTGATACACATCCTGTAAATCATCAATCAAGACCAAGACCTTTGATAACTGAATCAAGCATCACATTATCCCAGATTAAGAAAGATGAGGACAAACAAGAAAGCATCCTATTACAATACTATTGGCACAAATTATCAAGAAGATAAAATATGACTTAGAAAGAAAGAGAAGGCAGATGGACCAAAAAGGAGAAAATGGCAGAGTTCCTATTGACTTCATGAGTGCCATATCTCGTTTACATGTAAACTCCATAACATTCTTGTACAAGAATGTGGGCGGACAAATGTTGGCAAACAAAATGCGAGTCTAAGAAAGGCAACAAATTCACAAACAAACCCCGAGGCTGAAGGTGTAGCAGCAGACAATGAGCCTACAACCGTTGACAAACAAGTCGTCCATTACCTTAAACAAATCATTCTCCACCCACTTCCCACTTCCCATCTCTCTCTTTTTCTTTTTTTTTCTCTCTTTATCTCCTCCATGAAGGGGCATATGTTGGGATGTTTTCATGCTTACCTTTTGACTCTAGAGGCAAACTGTTGATCATGGAGCTTTTTTTACATGTACAAGAAAGAGGAGAAGGAATAATCTCAAGACTTGGTGAATCAAAAAGAAAATTGTTGATTGGTTTGATTCCCTTAACATGCTGGTGGCCCCCTGAGAGAGAGAAATCAAGAGAAGAATCTCTGTTTTTGAGAGACAATAATTACTAAATTTGTTCTTGTTTTTGACAATGGGATTTGGGTCGATCAATGTTTCTAACATCTTTACAAATTTGTTCATTTGCTGGTCAAAGTTCATTTTCTTTGCCTGGCTCAGAATATATAATATGGACAACGATTTTATAGGCTTTTGTGTTTTCTCCACTTCACCTTTTGCTTGGTTTCCCAAGCTCACTTTTCACTTTAAAATTTTGGTCAAATATGACCTGAAATGTTCCAATTTGCTGATATATCCACATGTTGAAGATGATGACTAATACTATAGATTGGGTTACATTTATATTTCTCCAATAATAATAGTAATAATAATATTGGTTCAAATTGTTTTTATTACTACATTTTATTTTTATACAATCGGTAGTATACTTGAATCTAATCTAAATTACAAAAATGATGATTCAAACTCGAATGCAGAATGAGAAGCATCATATCCGTTCTATCCAATTTGAACAAAGCCATGTCTGCTTATTATTACACTCTGGAATGAAAGAGCAGAGCATGTGGCTGCTGCAAACGAACTAGTCATAATAAACTGAGTAGTTGAAACACAATAAGTCAATAAGTGTCTGCCAATCAATCATTCCATATTCCACTCTGCGTAAAAAATAAATCATGTAAAAAATACCATAAACAATTAACTTTCAAACTTTTTCAGGCAATTTTAATGTTCAATTGGGCATTTGCAGAGACTGCTTTCTTTACCACATTCCTTTGATCAAACGTTTGTAACCCACTTAATCTTTGCTAAATCTCATCCTCTAATTTAAAAGTGACTTAAGACAAGCTTAAAAACGTTTTGAGTGAAATAAGTGCAACCCCAAAGAAACATTGGCAGCAAGGATTCTGGAGATGAAAATGCATGTGGAAGGCAAACTGCTCTGCAATTACAGATACCAAGATATATATATGAAGTTTTGTGTGATTGGATCAATGCAGCGAACCCAAAAAAAAAAAAAACCATTTGAGCAGGCCATGGCATAAAAAAGACCACCACCAGAGCATTGTAGCTCTTTCTTTTTCAGAGTGGGGTCAAGGTGAGATATCTGGTCTTCCACATTCCATCTGATAGCAACTGCCATGACATATTTGCAAGCAGTGTGAGTGTTTTGATTAGTTACTTGATGCCAAAGGAGCCAAAAAAATAAATATATCAACCGTATCTTTTGCATGGTTGCTTCAATTTATATGGAAGAAATAGCAAAACCAGGAGAAGGAGCAGGCCCTGCTCAAATTGTTACTGTTTTTTCTCCAGAATGTATAAGACGCTAAAGAAAGAATTCAGGGAACACAGTTACACAGACTCTGCAAATTCCTCAGGCTTCAAACTTACCTTCTTCCCCAATGAGCCAATTTTGTTTAAGACAAGAAGCAGCAAAAGAGAACAAAAGATTAATCAAAGAAATGGGAAAAAACACTGAAATTGTTGTTATTTGAGTAATTGAAGAAGCAAGGTACTCACAGGAAGAAAAAAAATTAAAGGAACATTTCAAAGTGCTTTCTTCTTCTTTTTTTAATCCCACCAACCAACAAGAATGCATAGGCATGTGTGGTTTTACACAACAAATGCAGCAGTAGCAGCAAAATGAACAACATGAACTTAAAACCGAAAGAACAAACACCTTATGGTTATGAACACCCTTTCATTCATTCATTCATTTCTCAATACAATCGCAGCACACTTCTGGCAATGGAATGGGCATGGCTGGACCTGGTTTTCCCAGCTCCACTTCTCCAGCTGCTCCTCATCGGCGTCAAGTAAAACCTCAACAGTCCATTGTCAATGTGGTTCGGTGAATACCTCGCACTCCGATTTCTTTCCAGCACGAACTGATCGTCCTTCTTCTTCCTTCCAGCATTCCCATTTGCCTCAACAGCAGCAGCAGCAGCAGCAGCAGCAACAGCAGCACCATTGCTATAGTTCTTCCTCATGCTCCCAAAAGATCCACCAACTCCACCAAACCCATGAGAGCTATTTCTCCAACTAGCACTGCTATTGCTCCTCATGATCTTGGGATTGAAACCCTTTGCTTCCCCGTTCCTCTCACCACCTCTGAGCTCCGGCCACGACTCTGAAAACGACCTCTCAACCCCATTTGATCTAACACTACTATACCTATCTTCATCCTCCTCTTTGTTCCCACCTCTCCTGTGTATAAAACTCCATATATTCCAAGCCTTGCTCCACCTCCTTGACTTTTTACACCCTTTATTTCTCTCCCCATTGACACCCACCGACCCCGAATCTCCGCCCCGAAAGGAGGACATTTCGAAGGTCTCCGAGCAGTCGTCCCGGAGAGAATTCGAGTTGTAAAAGTCCCTCAAATCTCTATTATCAGGAACGGTCGTGGGCGACACCTTGGCATTCGAAACCGACTTCATCTCATCGATCTCCGCCACCACGGCCGCCGCAGTCTTCCGAATGGAGTTGGACCGGTCGAGGCTCTTCCTCCGCCGCGATGACGAGTCCGAATAGTAGTCCCGGGTTTGGGCTGACCCGCCCGGAACCGTCTCCTCTTCAATCGAATTCATGGGCGGCTCCTCCACCGGAATCTGAGCGTCGCATCTCGAGACATGAACCACCGGAGCGTCCTCCACCACCGAGACCATCGTGGGCATTCTCGGAAATGTCCTTCCAATGAGGTACCCGTCCCACGAAGCCCTAGGCTCGTCGAAGGAGTATCTCGGGTCGTCGAACGACATCCGACCCGCATCGAGCGAGAACCTCGGATCCGTGTCGCAGGAGCGCCGGCCGAAGCCGTAATCGGCGATCTCCGACTGCGTTTCTCTGAACTGTCGCCCGATTGGCTTCTCCACCGGCAATGTAGCCGATCCGCCGCCGTTTCGACGCTTCTTCAGCTTCTGCTTCTGCCTCCATTTCTGCAATTTTTTGCTGAACACCGAAGCTGCTGACCAGAAGCTACCTGCAATCTCTTTCAGGTCCCTCTTCTTGGTTTGAGAATCGAGATCTATGTGGTCTTTCATGGGCTTCAAGTCTTCTACTTCAAATAGTTCCGGTTCTGGTGGTGGTTGAAATTGCTCCTCTTCTTCTTCCTCCTCCTCCTCTAAGATTTCTGGAACTCTGTCTTCAATCACATTTGCGACATTGGGTTCCTCAGATATTTCAATTCGGTCGCCGTTGTCGTCGCTGCTCTGGTTTTCGTCGTCTTCGTCTTCCTCTTCCTCCTTGGACTCAAACACAGGACCCCGAAAGCTGGAAGAGGACCCGCCTAAGTTCCTGGTCTCGACCTCAACCTCAGTAGGGGGTTGTGGTTCCTTCTTGTTGGGGTTCCGGCCGTCGTACTGGGGTAACGTCGCAGGACTTTCTCTGAGGCTCAAACACACCAGAGAAGCCCTCGTTTTTAGAGGCAGAGAAGGATTTGGTTCGCCGGAGCTCAGGAAAAAAGGAGGTGGGTCGGGTTTTGTTGGTGGAGGAGGCCCCACCACCGCCAATGGGGGGCTTGAAAATGGCCTTAAGGGCAGCAGCGGCAGTGGAGGAAGTAGGGGGTTTGCGAGAAGTGGAAGAGGAAGAGGAAGAAGGGTCCAACACGGCAAGCCGTTCGCAGAGGCATGAGGGGCAGAATCCAGTGAAGTGCTCTTCTGGGTGGCGGTCGCAGGAGGTGGAGGGTCGGTTGGGCTGAGGCGGCTGCGGCGGATGTAGTGGTGGCGGTGGTGCTGCTGCTTCTGCGCTGGGATTCATAACCGGTGGTGGTGCTCTGTGTTGTTGCCCACTCTGCTGCTGCTGCTCATGTTATGAGAGTGAAGAAGAAGAAGAAGAGTGACTGTGTGGACTATGAGAGCTACTGTTTCTGTTTGGCTCCCAACGGACAGTGAGAGAGAGAGAGAGAGAGAGAGAGAGAGATGAGATTGTGAAGCACAAAGGGGAAAATAAATGAAATGAATTGAAAATGTTTGATAATATGCCCCACACACTTACTCACTCACTCACTCACCGTCTGCTATTTCTCTCTGCGTTTCTGTTTGCCCATTGTGGGGTTTTCTTTTATTTATTTATTTATTTTGGGGTTCTTTTTTGGGGTTTGCTTTATTATTTCTGTATTTTCTTTTTCTTTTTCTTTTTCTCTGGGGGCACTCGCTGGTGAAAAGACAATTTTCTGCCTGCAGGTACCTACTGAATCCTTAATCGAGGTCAGTAAATAGGCC